GTGACTCGATCAGCGACTCAGTGTTTGAGTCAGATTCAGTCAGTGACTCGGTCAGTGACTCGGTCAGTGACTCGGTCAGTGACTCGGTCAGTGACTCGGTCAGTGACTCGGTCAGTGACTCGGTCAGTGACTCGGTCAGTGACTCGGTCAGTGACTCGGTCAGTGACTCTCTCAGTGACTCGGTCAGTCAGTGGCTCAGTCAGTAACTCAGTTACTCGGTTGGTGACTCGGTCAGTGACTCGGTCGGACAGTCAGTCAGGTAGCATTAAAATGTTCATATCATAATTATAAAGGTTCACGTCATAAATAAAAAGACAACTCAATTTGCAAGTTTGTTGTCTTGGAGTTTCTGGGGCCTGTTTAGAGACAACCCAACGGCATGAGAATGGGCCAGGAATGGTTATTCAAGGAGGGGGGTAGTTATCTGTACGTAATGTAATTATGCTAATTAATGGTTTATATTGATATGAATATACATGTTCAAGTTTTCAGAGCACGTTTGTCAGGTAATTAGGGTGTAAGGTCCAGAAGGCATGAAACAAATTGAAAATAAGTGATTTGAACTGGGCCCAATTTCATAGCGCTGCTTAGCACACAATTTCTGCCAGCAGAGCTTCTCCATCTATCTATCACATTGTCAATACTATATTTTTGTCATGTACAATATTGGGAAAGAATGTTGCAACCTGATGCTGCTTTTTCTTCATATCATCTCAATGAAGTCATTCATTGCAAAAATGATGACTATGATAAAACATGAATCTGGGACTGAGAAATACTTAAGAGAACACTTTCTTGACGCTCCATAGACTTTGCACACAACCGCTGAAGTGGCGTCAGGTTGCAACATTCTTTTCCAATATTGTGTGATATTCTGACTTCATTTCTTTATTTCATCTGTAAAAACATTAAATGTTATACTGCCTTTCTTTAAAGGGAAGATACAAGATTTGCAAATATCACAAAACGAAATGATCAAATTATCGCAAAATACCTTACTGGATTGTTGGGGAATGACAGTCTAAAGCATCCTGTAAAATTGTGGCTCCTGATGTGCTGACAGTTTTAAGAAAAATGGTACTTTTCCAACGCTGGTCGGCCAACCAGCATTGGAGAAAACTGGCTATTTTTCAAAAATTGCTCCCAATTTTTTTATAATTAGTTATTCCGCATTTTCTTTGCAATTGATTACACACGTACAAGTCTGCTAGACTGATTCTCTGACCTTACAATTCCCCAAAGTCTATTAATTGCTCCGTTTTATCTTATAAGTGGGGTCACCAGACTGCAAATACATGATTGGTTTTCTTGACTTTTCCAGCATCTACAAGCCCAAATGTGAAAAAGTCATTTTAACGATATTTGCTATAACATACTAATCATCCAAATTCATTTATTTCTGAAAATTGCAGCAAAAGCAAATGTTGTAGTTGTACATTCCCTTTAAGTCCCGCGATAAATCTTATCTTGCAGTGTAAATATTGTGTAGGTGAATTTTAAAAGTAAATGTGTACTTAAAATATTGTTGAAATGCTGTGCATAGTTCTTTGAATGAAGGGATATTAAATCATCACAATAAATAAAAGTGAAAAAAAATACCTGTTTGTTATTGTTTTGTTTGTTTTCTTGGTAGTTTGTTTGGGATTCTGAAAACAAAACTTCAGTTTATTTAAAAGATAAGTTCAGTTTGGGCTATAAAAAGTTGGGAAGGTAAGAAAAAAAGAATAAAATGATTATGGTGGGCCGGGACTCGAACCTGAGTCGCCTGATTGAGAGTCCTACGCCGGTCCACAAGACCATTAACGCACTCAAATGTTATACTAGTTCTGCTTAATTACAATTGTAAGATAGGCTTATCGTGGCTTTTCACGTTGACGCCCATGCACGCTTAGACGTAAAACACAGTTTGACGATGTAAAACATTCGTTTGATTTTGGGTGTAGCTGTTCTTATTGATCTAAATTTAATTGGAAAAGGGTAAAGGGTGTCAACTGAACTAAAATCCTGAAATTCAATGAAATAAAACTCGTACAATCCTTGCTTTCAGTACGAAACACACGTGTTCAACGGATGCAGAGAAGCCTATTTCTTTTGTTAAATTCCTTTGTTGAATCTTGCGTTAACAATAAAATGTTTCCATTGAGGGAAAAGGATTAAACGCCGCGATCTTTATTCACGCTTGAGTGCATCTGAATGGGGAATATTGAAGCGGAAAATCACGATTTACAGCACTTAGGCAGCATTTTATCCCACACAATGATACTTTTTGAAGAGGAAATTGCATACTGAATACAACTGTAGTTTCAAAATTCAAAAATTCGCCGTATTTAAAAAGTCGAGGTAATTGTTTTGGAAAACTTTCACTAAAAATTTCCTCATCCTAACGTAGGCGGCGCTATATTTATATTTCATTCTCAGTGCGCGCATTGTTAGCGCGATAGCCGCCGCCCGATCTGTGTATCACCCGTTTACCCAATCTTATCCTAGCTCACAATTTCAATTTATCTCACGAATAAAAGTTGAATAGGTCTACAACTAAAACAATAGACAATTAAGGTCTGTGAAAAAAAATGCAATCAGAATAAAAGTCAACTTTAATGGAACAAAAGAGACGCGTATAAGGATATTAATAAAAGGGCCCCGGTATACCCATGAAGCAAGAGGGGGCGGGAATAGACCGCTTGCAGACGCGATCGATAAGGGTACACACCGGTAAATCGATCCGCCAAGCTCATGAATAAAAGTTATACCCTCAAAATATTCTATATTAGAGAGTTCTGAGCGCCGTAAAATTGGGGAATTGAAGAGATATGGTAGTGAACCTCTGGCCCGGACTTGGGGCTTCCAATTCTGAGCATTTTGGATGATATTGGGCTCGAAAGTGGCGCTATTTTGCCATGTTGTGGAGGGATCGTTTTTCAAGATGGCTACTTTTCCGCTTTGGGGAAAATAGGGGTCGTCTTCTTTGCGTGATAATATCTCGAAAAGTCAATGGTCAACCCACCATAAATTGAAAAGAAATTGAAAGATGACACATTGATCATCATTTTTCTGTGCAGCTTGAATACCTGTGAGAGTTTTGAGTATTTTTAAAAGAATTTTGAAGTATGGGCATTTAGCACTAGTGTCTATGGGAGTTTATTTGCAGGTATGCACCCATAATTGACGCGCAAAGGTGCGCGACGCCATGTTGTGGGACAAAATGTGCGTGGATAGATATACGCTTGTCCCACAACATGGCGTCGCGCGCCTTCGCGCGTCGATTATCGAACGCATATGCAAGCGGTCTATTTGTTTTGTCGTGTGAGATGGGGGGAGGGGGGAACAAGCGAAATATTTTTACTAAAAGTCGTAAGTGGAAAAATGTTTTTAAAAAAGGGTTATAAACCGTACATGTATACATAATAGGCAGCCAGCCCCGCCCCCATCCCTTGCAATGCCATACACACACGATAATGCGCTAGCCAACTCTGGATACGGTGCACGTGCGAAAATGAAATATATATAGCGCCGCCTACGTTCGGATGAGGAAAGTTTCAGTGAAATTTTTCCAAAAAAATTACCTCGACTTTTTAAATACGGCGAAGTTTTGAATTTTGAAACTACCGTTGTATTTAGTATGCAATTTCCTCTCCAAAAAGTATCATTATTTGGGATAAAATGCTGCCGAAGTGCTGTAATTCGTGATTTTCCGCTTCAATATTCCCCATTCAGATGCACTCAAGCGTGAAAAAAGATCGCGGCGTTTAATCCTTTTCCCTCAATGGAAACATTTTATTGTTAACGCAAGATTCAACAAAGGAAATTAACAAAAGAAATAGGCTTCTCTGCATCCGTTGAACACGTGTGTTTCGTACTGAAACCAAGGATTGTCGAGTTTTATTCCATGGAATTTCTGGATTTCAGTTCAGTTGACACCCTTTATCCTTTTCCACATAAATTTAGATCAACTTGAACAGCTACACCCAAAATCAAACGAGTGATTTACATCGTCAGACTGTGTTTTACGTCTAAGCGTGCATGGGCGTGTACGTGAAAAGCCGCGATAAGTCTATCTTACAGTTATAATTAAAAAGAACTAGAAGTGCATTTGAGCGCGTTAATGGTCTGCTGGAACGGCGTAAGACTCCCAATCTGGCGACTCGGGTTCGAATCCCACCATGATTATATTATTACTTAATTTTCTCCTTCTTTTTTTCCCCAAAAATAAATTTGGTGAACTTATCTTTAAAAAAAATGAAGTTTTGTTTTCAGAATCAAATACTTCAAAAATATAAACACTAAAATTGTAAGTTATATTCTTCTCTCTCTTTTTTATTTTTAAAAATATTATTTAATCCTCCATCCATGATGGGATCAAGAAATTGAAAACTATAGAAGAGACAAGTTTGGAATTTTTTTTCTGAAAATGATTTTCATTTTAATTCTTTCAACAGCGTTTAAAACTTTACACGTATATGAAACTTAACACATAGTTGTCACTGACTGTGTTATTATTGAAATAGTTGAAGAGCATTTTATTGCAAAAATGAAACATATGTTAAGGGTAGATATAACATTTGCAAGCATAAAAAAACGACATGGTCAAATTTTCACGAAGCACTTCACTTGATTGTTAGGGAATGACACAAAAGCTTAGCATCCTGTAAAATCATGGCTCCTGGTGTGCTGACATTTTCAAGAAAAATTGTATTTTTCCAACACTGGTTAGCCAACCAGCAGTGGAAAAAAAATGGCTATAAAAACAGTTCCTAATTTTTCATATTTAGTTATTTCGCGTTATCGTTGCAATTGAATTACACAATGGTGAAAGGGTACAAGCCTTCTAGACTTATTCTCTGACCTTACAATTCCCCAAAGTCTACAAATTGCTCTGCTTCATCTTAAGTGGTTCGGGGAACCAGACTACATGAACATGATTGGTTTTCTTGGTTTTCCAGCATATACAAGCCCAAAACGTGAAACAAGTCATTTGAACAATATTTGCTATAACATAATAATCCTCCAAATCCATTTATTTTTGAAAATTGCAGCAAAGGCAAATGTTGTACATTCCATTTAACCAAAATATTTCACGCATGTCAGTACTGCATGCGTACAGTTAAAAAAAAACAATGATAAGGACTAGTAACTGGGTTTTGGCATTTAAGATGACTAATTGTCCAAAATCAACAAATTATATTGTTTTCCAATTACCAATTTTCTATCTATTTCTTATTTTAACAGAAGAAAACAACTCTTTTGTTCTGTTTTGGGACATTTACAACCCTCAGAACAAGTAGCATTTAATTTGGTAGCTTTTCCATGCAAACAGGTCCCCTTCCCTACTGAGTACACGAGACTGTTTGCCTACATTATCATTTCTGACAGGGATATCGGGAACCAGTTTTCCCTACAAGAACTGACATATTCTAGGGCTACATATAATGACAATCTAAGTATATTACATAACCAAATATGGGCCAAAATTGTTGTTCTCATGCAAAAGTGCATAATTTTGTATTGTTAGAATATACAGCAATAAAGAACTTTTCTTGGGGGTCGGAGTCTCAGTAATTGCTCAGACTGTGGTTATAAAAAAATATAAATTTCATGTATGTCGACGCCTACCAAGGAATTAGGATTACTGAAATATACTGAAATAACAGCTAACATTGACCCAGGATCGCATGGACCAACAAAGGGCATGAAAACGACTCTTCTCAACTGTTCTCAGACTTTAATTTAAAATTATATCCAAGTGAGAGATATTGAGGCTGTGTTCAATCGATGGGTACGATGCACCCATACCCAACCTTGCATCATTCAATGACTGTTTATTGCCTGCAAGCAAGTAACTGAAAACTTGGTAAAAGGAATTACATGGAGCACAATATTTGAGTGAATAACCAAACCACATTACTCTGAGTTACTAAACATGCAAAACAATCTAAACCAAATGGATGTTTATTGAAGGCAGGACCAGTCCAATCCAGTCCAGGATCTGCAATCCAGTATCCTAACTGGTTCAGCATCTGCAATCCAGTATCCTACCTGGTTCAGCATCTGCAATCCACTCCTAACTGGTTCAGCATCTGCAATCCAGTATCCTAACAGGTTCAGCATCTGCAATCCAGTATCCTAACTGGTTCAGCATCTGCAATCCAGTATCCTAACTGGTGCAGCATCTGCAATCCAGTATCCTAACAGGTTCAGCATCTGCAATCCAGTATCCTAACTGGTTCAGCATCTGCAATCCAGTATCTTAACTGTTTCATCATCTGCAATCCAGTATCATAACTAGTTCATCATCTGCAATCCGGTATCCTAACTGTTTCATCATCTGCAATCCAGTATCATAACTAGTTCATCATCTGCAATCCGGTATCCTAACAGGTTCAGCATCTGCAATCCAGTATCCTAACTGGTTCAGCATCTGCAATCCAGTATCCTAACTGGTTCAGCATATGCAATCCAGTATCCTAACTGGTTCAGCATCTGCAATCCAGTATCCTAACAGGTTCAGCATCTGCAATTCAGTATCCTAACAGGTTCAGCATCTGCAATCCAGTATCCTAACTGGTGCAGCATCTGCAATCCAGTATCCTAACTGGTTCAGCATCTGCAATCCAGTATCCTACCTGGTTCAGCATCTGCAATCCACTCCTAACTGGTTCAGCATCTGCAATCCAGTATCCTAACAGGTTCAGCATCTGCAATCCAGTATCCTAACTGGTTCAGCATCTGCAATCCAGTATCCTAACTGGTTCAGCATCTGCAATCCAGTATCCTAACTGGTTCAGCATATGCAATCCAGTATCCTAACTGGTTCAGCATCTGCAATCCAGTATCCTAACAGGTTCAGCATCTGCAATCCAGTATCCTAACTGGTTCAGCATATGCAATCCAGTATCCTAACTGGTTCAGCATCTGCAATCCAGTATCCTAACTGGTTCAGCATCTGCAATCCAGTATCCTAACAGGTTCAGCATCTGCAATTCAGTATCCTAACAGGTTCAGCATCTGCAATCCAGTATCCTAACTGGTGCAGCATCTGCAATCCAGTATCCTAACTGGTTCAGCATCTGCAATCCAGTATCCTACCTGGTTCAGCATCTGCAATCCACTCCTAACTGGTTCAGCATCTGCAATCCAGTATCCTAACAGGTTCAGCATCTGCAATCCAGTATCCTAACTGGTTCAGCATCTGCAATCCAGTATCCTAACTGGTTCAGCATCTGCAATCCAGTATCCTAACTGGTTCAGCATATGCAATCCAGTATCCTAACTGGTTCAGCATCTGCAATCCAGTATCCTAACAGGTTCAGCATCTGCAATCCGGTATCCTAACAGGTTCAGCATCTGCAATCCAGTATCCTAACTGGTGCAGCATCTGCAATCCAGTATCCTAACAGGTTCAGCATCTGCAATCCAGTATCCTAACTGGTTCAGCATCTGCAATCCAGTATCTTAACTGTTTCATCATCTGCAATCCAGTATCATAACTAGTTCATCATCTGCAATCCGGTATCCTAACAGGTTCAGCATCTGCAATCCAGTATCCTAACTGGTTCAGCATCTGCAATCCAGTATCCTAACTGGTTCAGCATATGCAATCCAGTATCCTAACTGGTTCAGCATCTGCAATCCAGTATCCTAACAGGTTCAGCATCTGCAATTCAGTATCCTAACAGGTTCAGCATCTGCAATCCAGTATCCTAACTGGTGCAGCATCTGCAATCCAGTATCCTAACAGGTTCAGCATCTGCAATCCAGTATCCTAACTGTTTCATCATCTGCAATCCAGTATCATAACTAGTTCATCATCTGCAATCCAGTATCCTAACTGGTTCATCATCTGCAATCCAGTATCCTAACAGGTGCAGCATCTGCAATCCAGTATCCTAACTGGTTCAGCATCTGCAATCCAGTATCCTAACAGGTTCAGCATCTGCAATCCAGTATCCTAACTGGTTCAGCATCTGCAATCCATGCAGTATCCTAACTGGTTCAGCATCTGCAATCCAGTATCCTAACTGGTTCAGCATCTGCAATCCATGCAGTATCCTAACTGTTCAATCGATGGGTACGATGCACCCATACCCACAACCTTGCATCATTCAATGACTGTTTATTGCCTGCAAGCAAGTAACTGAAAACTTGGTAAAAGGAATTACATGGAGCACAATATTTGAGTGAATAACCAAACCACATTACTCTGAGTTACTAAACATGCAAAACAATCTAAACCAAATGGAAGTTTATTGAAGGCAGGACCAGTCCAATCCAGTCCAGGATCTGCAATCCAGTATCCTAACTGGTTCAGCATCTGCAATCCAGTATCCTACCTGGTTCAGCATCTGCAATCCACTCCTAACTGGTTCAGCATCTGCAATCCAGTATCCTAACAGGTTCAGCATCTGCAATCCAGTATCCTAACTGGTTCAGCATCTGCAATCCAGTATCCTAACTGGTGCAGCATCTGCAATCCAGTATCCTAACAGGTTCAGCATCTGCAATCCAGTATCCTAACTGGTTCAGCATCTGCAATCCAGTATCTTAACTGTTTCATCATCTGCAATCCAGTATCATAACTAGTTCATCATCTGCAATCCGGTATCCTAACTGTTTCATCATCTGCAATCCAGTATCATAACTAGTTCATCATCTGCAATCCGGTATCCTAACAGGTTCAGCATCTGCAATCCAGTATCCTAACTGGTTCAGCATCTGCAATCCAGTATCCTAACTGGTTCAGCATATGCAATCCAGTATCCTAACTGGTTCAGCATCTGCAATCCAGTATCCTAACAGGTTCAGCATCTGCAATTCAGTATCCTAACAGGTTCAGCATCTGCAATCCAGTATCCTAACTGGTGCAGCATCTGCAATCCAGTATCCTAACTGGTTCAGCATCTGCAATCCAGTATCCTACCTGGTTCAGCATCTGCAATCCACTCCTAACTGGTTCAGCATCTGCAATCCAGTATCCTAACTGGTTCAGCATCTGCAATCCAGTATCCTAACTGGTTCAGCATCTGCAATCCAGTATCCTAACTGGTTCAGCATCTGCAATCCATGCAGTATCCTAACTGGTTCAGCATCTGCAATCCAGTATCCTAACTGGTTCAGCATCTGCAATCCATGCAGTATCCTAACTGTTCAATCGATGGGTACGATGCACCCATACCCACAACCTTGCATCATTCAATGACTGTTTATTGCCTGCAAGCAAGTAACTGAAAACTTGGTAAAAGGAATTACATGGAGCACAATATTTGAGTGAATAACCAAACCACATTACTCTGAGTTACTAAACATGCAAAACAATCTAAACCAAATGGAAGTTTATTGAAGGCAGGACCAGTCCAATCCAGTCCAGGATCTGCAATCCAGTATCCTAACTGGTTCAGCATCTGCAATCCAGTATCCTACCTGGTTCAGCATCTGCAATCCACTCCTAACTGGTTCAGCATCTGCAATCCAGTATCCTAACAGGTTCAGCATCTGCAATCCAGTATCCTAACTGGTTCAGCATCTGCAATCCAGTATCCTAACTGGTGCAGCATCTGCAATCCAGTATCCTAACAGGTTCAGCATCTGCAATCCAGTATCCTAACTGGTTCAGCATCTGCAATCCAGTATCTTAACTGTTTCATCATCTGCAATCCAGTATCATAACTAGTTCATCATCTGCAATCCGGTATCCTAACTGTTTCATCATCTGCAATCCAGTATCATAACTAGTTCATCATCTGCAATCCGGTATCCTAACAGGTTCAGCATCTGCAATCCAGTATCCTAACTGGTTCAGCATCTGCAATCCAGTATCCTAACTGGTTCAGCATATGCAATCCAGTATCCTAACTGGTTCAGCATCTGCAATCCAGTATCCTAACAGGTTCAGCATCTGCAATTCAGTATCCTAACAGGTTCAGCATCTGCAATCCAGTATCCTAACTGGTGCAGCATCTGCAATCCAGTATCCTAACTGGTTCAGCATCTGCAATCCAGTATCCTACCTGGTTCAGCATCTGCAATCCACTCCTAACTGGTTCAGCATCTGCAATCCAGTATCCTAACTGGTTCAGCATCTGCAATCCAGTATCCTAACTGGTTCAGCATCTGCAATCCAGTATCCTAACTGGTTCAGCATCTGCAATCCAGTATCCTAACTGGTTCAGCATATGCAATCCAGTATCCTAACTGGTTCAGCATCTGCAATCCAGTATCCTAACAGGTTCAGCATCTGCAATCCGGTATCCTAACAGGTTCAGCATCTGCAATCCAGTATCCTAACTGGTGCAGCATCTGCAATCCAGTATCCTAACAGGTTCAGCATCTGCAATCCAGTATCCTAACTGGTTCAGCATCTGCAATCCAGTATCTTAACTGTTTCATCATCTGCAATCCAGTATCATAACTAGTTCATCATCTGCAATCCGGTATCCTAACAGGTTCAGCATCTGCAATCCAGTATCCTAACTGGTTCAGCATCTGCAATCCAGTATCCTAACTGGTTCAGCATATGCAATCCAGTATCCTAACTGGTTCAGCATCTGCAATCCAGTATCCTAACAGGTTCAGCATCTGCAATTCAGTATCCTAACAGGTTCAGCATCTGCAATCCAGTATCCTAACTGGTGCAGCATCTGCAATCCAGTATCCTAACAGGTTCAGCATCTGCAATCCAGTATCCTAACTGTTTCATCATCTGCAATCCAGTATCATAACTAGTTTATCATCTGCAATCCAGTATCCTAACTGGTTCATCATCTGCAATCCAGTATCCTAATAGGTGCAGCATCTGCAATCCAGTATCCTAACTGGTTCAGCATCTGCAATCCAGTATCCTAACAGGTTCAGCATCTGCAATCCAGTATCCTAACTGGTTCAGCATCTGCAATCCATGCAGTATCCTAACTGGTTCAGCATCTGCAATCCAGTATCCTAACTGGTTCAGCATCTGCAATCCATGCAGTATCCTAACTGTTCAATCGATGGGTACGATGCACCCATACCCAACCTTGCATCATTCAATGACTGTTTATTGCCTGCAAGCAAGTAACTGAAAACTTGGTAAAAGGAATTACATGGAGCACAATATTTGAGTGAACAACCAAACCACATTACTCTGAGTTACTAAACATGCAAAACAATCTAAACCAAATGGATGTTTATTGAAGGCAGGACCAGTCCAATCCAGTCCAGGATCTGCAATCCAGTATCCTAACTGGTTCAGCATCTGCAATCCAGTATCCTACCTGGCTCAGCATCTGCAATCCACTCCTAACTGGTTCAGCATCTGCAATCCAGTATCCTAACAGGTTCAGCATCTGCAATCCAGTATCCTAACTGGTTCAGCATCTGCAATCCAGTATCCTAACTGGTGCAGCATCTGCAATCCAGTATCCTAACAGGTTCAGCATCTGCAATCCAGTATCCTAACTGGTTCAGCATCTGCAATCCAGTATCTTAACTGTTTCATCATCTGCAATCCAGTATCATAACTAGTTCATCATCTGCAATCCGGTATCCTAACAGGTTCAGCATCTGCAATCCAGTATCCTAACTGGTTCAGCATCTGCAATCCAGTATCCTAACTGGTTCAGCATCTGCAATCCAGTATCCTAACTGGTTCAGCATCTGCAATCCAGTATCCTAACAGGTTCAGCATCTGCAATTCAGTATCCTAACAGGTTCAGCATCTGCAATCCAGTATCCTAACTGGTGCAGCATCTGCAATCCAGTATCCTAACAGGTTCAGCATCTGCAATCCAGTATCCTAACTGTTTCATCATCTGCAATCCAGTATCATAACTAGTTCATCATCTGCAATCCAGTATCCTAACTGGTTCATCATCTGCAATCCAGTATCCTAACAGGTGCAGCATCTGCAATCCAGTATCCTAACTGGTTCAGCATCTGCAATCCAGTATCCTAACAGGTTCAGCATCTGCAATCCAGTATCCTAACTGGTTCAGCATCTGCAATCCATGCAGTATCCTAACTGGTTCAGCATCTGCAATCCAGTATCCTAACTGGTTCAGCATCTGCAATCCATGCAGTATCCTAACTGGTTCAGCATCTGCAATCCAGTATCCTAACAGGTTCAGCACCTGCAATCCAGTATCCTAACAGGTTCAGGATCTGCAATCCAGTATCCTAACTGGTTCAGCATCTGCAATCCAGTATCCTTACTGGTTCAGCATCTGCAATCCAGTATCCTAACAGGTTCAGCACCTGTGATAGCTGGGTGACCCTCTCGATGATCTTATCCTGTCTCTCTCCACCAACCTGCTGATCAAATTTCTGCAGGAAACAGTCTGGATGCCACAGCAGCTGCGCGGAGCGTACCAACCCCCACAGCTCGGCAGCATCCTCGCTGAACATAATGTAACGCATCAGCACCTGCAACAATCTTGTCTGAAAATGAGTTGCCATGATGAAACAGTCACGGCATGTCCTCCACGGATCCCAGCTGAGTCAACTACTGTTCCTATACTTGCACTAAGCATCTTGTTACACAACTGTAGGCACTCATCCTGTGTCACTGTCTTTGTTTTTGTCTCAGCTTGTCTTCCTCTCTGCTGTATCGGACAGCTGAGACCCCTTGTAGCGCTGCTGCTGTTCTGTCAGTGATCTCCTGCTCTAGGGGCTCAGTCGTCAAATGAATCCTGATGATCAAATACATCATTAAAAAAAATTAATTCTGAAAACATTTTTAATACTGACTTTTAATCTTGCAGTGTGAATCTTCGTTTTGACAAAAAAAACCTCACTGACATCGTTGCTTTAATATTCAGACTAGGTTTTCAACAGAGAAAGTAACATATATTCCATGGTTTTAGTAAAAAATACCTCCATCGAGCTTCATAAACAGCCCCAACAACTTCAACAAGCATGATGCTCAAGTTGCTAATAAGAGCAATAATAGACGTCAGCTTTTTGGTTGGACTAGCTCCCAGTCAAAAAAGCGTACCTAGTTTTTTTCTTCAAAAGCTTCTTGAAAGCCCGGAACGCACCCACTCATTTGATCATTTTTTTTGGAAACGAAATATAAAATCTGTGTCGCCAACATACTCTGCAGTCCTATAATAAACCCACACTACTGGGACCTGGCATGGAGTGCTCTGAAACATGCAAAACACAGTATTGATGAGAGTCCCAAATTTTCGGACAATCATACACCTGCCGAAAGAATTTTGCAACCTGACGTTGCTGTTTTCTTCATATATCATCTCAATGAAGGACAGTCATTGCAAAAATGATGATAAGACATGAATCTAGGACTAAGAAACATTCCCAATTTCAATGTTGGGAAATACTTCAATTTTCTTGACTCACCATAGACTTTGTACCGCTGAAGTGGCGTCAGGTTGCAACATTCTTTCCATG